TTCGAATTTATATATATATATATATAAATTCGAATTTCCGGTTGGGAAATTCGAATTTATATATATATATAAATTCGATTTTTTGGTGGGGTTTTTGGTTTGGGGATTAGGTTTACGGGTTTGAGGCTTGGGGTTTAAGGGTTTGGGCATGGGGTTTTGGACTTTAAAATTGGGGCTTAGGGTTGGGGTTGGGTTAAGGGTTTCGGCTTGGGGTTTAGGGTTGGGGTTTAGGGTTGGGAGTTAGGGGTTGAGGGTCTGTGGTTGTGGGTTTGGGTTTGAAGTTTTGGACTTTGGGCTTGGGGTTTAGGGTTTGGGTTTAGGGATTAGGGTGCGGGGTTTAGGTTTCGGGCTTCGGGGCTTAGGGTTTGGGTTTAGGGTTTCGGGTTTGGGGTTAGGTTTCGCGTTTCGGGTTTGGGGTTTAGGGTTTGGGATTGGGGTTTATAGGGTTTGGAGGTTACGTTTATGGTTTCGGCTTTGGGGGTTAGGTTTGGGCTTGGGGATTAGGGTTTGGGGTTTAGGTTTCGGGGTTTAGGGTTTGGGTTTGGGGTATGGGAGTTAGGTTTCGGGTTTGGGCTTCGGGTTTAGGGTTTGGGGTTTGGGTTTAGGGTTCGGGTTTGGCGTTTACGCTCTCACAACTCGGACATGCCAGGCGAGGTTCATGGTGCGAAGTTGGGTTTAGGGTTTGGGTTTGGGGTCTATGAGATGTGGGGATTAGGTTTAGGGTTTCGGGTTTGGGTTTTGGGGTTTGGGGATTAGGTTTAAGAAGGTTTGGGGTTTAGGGTTTGGGTTTGGGGTCTAGGGTTTGGGGATTAGGTTTCGGGTTTCTAGGTTTTGGGGTTAGGGTTTGAGGGTCTGGTGTTGTGATCGTGGGTTTGGGATTTGGGTTTTTGGTTTGCTTACTCTATATACATATATATATATATTTGTAAACCCCAAACCCGAAACCGTAAACCTAACCCCAAAGTATAAACCCCAAACCCAAACCTCAAACCCCAAATCAAACCCAAAGTCCAAAACCCCACATCCAAAACTCAAAACCCCAACCCCAACCTCTCCTCTCTCCCCTCCCTCCCTCTTCCTCCCCTTTCCCCTCTCCCCTCCCTCCCCGCCCCTTCCCTCCCTCTCCCCTCCCTTCCCTCTCCCTCCCCTCCCCTCCCTCTCCCCTTCCCCCCCGACGGATTTTTTCTGTCTGGCAGCTGCTCTGTCCTGCTGTTGCACCGCCGTTCCAGGCACACACTTGCCAAGCGCTCAAAACTATTTTTTGCATGTTCTTAAGTTTGTATAAGATAAGAACACGAGCTGCAGGCGTGCGCCTATGCTTTAAAAACGGCGAAACACGCCCTTCCTATACAACGGCAACAAGTGCCCACTCAATTGTGATGGCGACCGGCGCCCTACGCGTTGTCGCGCTGCCGCCATGCCTGCCATGACCGGTTGTTCATGGCATCCCGCAACTGTGGTGCGCTCTTGAACTCGTCGTAGAGCTCCCACATTTCACGCTCGTCTTCCTGGTCCACCGCCACACAAAGGCGCCCCAGCTTCTCTGCCCACGAGTTTCGTCGCACTGCCTCCGTCCGGGCGTCGAGCTCCTCCTGGAAGCGGTCGGCCAGTTCTGCGAGTTCCGCGCACAACCCGTGCTCCTTGAAGCACAGCAGCATGACGGCGACTTTCGTGACTGCGCCCCCCCGTTTGGGGTCGATCGGCTCATGCATCGGCATGTCCCACTCCCTGCCCACGTAGTCGCGGGAACCGCGCGCGCCTCCTTTACCGCCACTCCGGCGCCCACGACCATCGCCACTGGAGCGCCCAGGACCATCGCCGCTGGAGCGCGCACGATCCTCATGGGAATCCTAGGTTTATATACAGCTTACAATCTTCATAAATTTCTTTCTATAGGAAACAAACAAACTCAAACAAAACTTCTACATGATGAAAAAACACCAAGCATCATCCGTCCAACTCCGCGAATCTCGCGACCAACCACCATGCGAGGCAGCGTCCCGCCGCTGGGGGCGCCTGTCATCATCCCAGTCCCGCCGCTGCGGGCGCCTCTCATCATTCCAGTCCCGCCGCTGCGGGCGCCTCTCGCGGTCCTCGCGCGCCCACCGCGAAACGTAGTCGCGCATCTCCTCCATGCGGCGACTGACATCCTCCGCCCACTCCTCTTGGCGACGGCTGATCGCCTCTTGCTGCCGCCGCCACTCTCGTCGGCGCTCTTCGCTCTCTTCTCTCCGCCGGGCACGGCGCTCCTCCGACTCCTCCCTGCGCCGCTGCAGCTCCGCCTCCAAGCGCACCTGCGCCGCGCGGCGCTCCTCCTCCAAGAGCTCCGCCTTGCGGCGCGCCTGTTTCTTCCGCTTCTTCGCGTTCTTTTCCTCCGAGCTGCTGGTGTCCGCCCCATGGGCGCGCTCCCGCCCCTCCGCCTTTGCCTCCTCCTCCCCAGCCGCTTGATCCACCGGCCCCTCCTCCGCCGCAAGGGGCGCTTCCGTCTTGACAGCCACGCGGGGCCCCTCAGCCGGACTCGGCTCCTCCTCTTCAAACTCCGGCGTCGTCTCCTCAACCGGGCTCGTCGGCTCCATGTCCGCTTCCGCCAAAGAAGGCGCACCCTTGCTCTCCGGCTCCACCGCCGCCGTTGCACGCTCCTGCAGGGGTTCAAGTTTTTTTCGAACGCTTTTTCAGGGCTTATAAATACAGGGTTCATATAATATATATGGTTTACAAGCTGATTTTGGGCTAAACATGCATGCTGCTCCTCGTTCAAAGGCGCATTTTCCGCCTTTGAAGCTGCGGCATCAAGTGCCCTCTCCTTCCCCTGCCGGTACTCAGCGACAAAGCGCTCTTCCTTTTCGTTGAGGGTCCGCGACAAGCGCGCCTTTTCCAACTCTTCCACCATTTCCTTCACGATGTCTTCCATGGCGAAGGAGGCTGCAGCTACAAGGCTTTATAGCCTATCATGCAACCTCTTTGTTCTCTTTTCCTATTTACTTTCGGTATATCTATAGATAAACAACTATATTTTTGTGATATTGGCACCGCCACCGACAGAGTCTAGCAACGGAGCAGATACCCACATATCATGCTGGTATCAAAGTATATTATATATACATATGTATTTTTCTATCCATGTAGATACTGCTCGACCGCCACCGACGGGGTCTAGCGACGGATTACATAATGAGGACACCACGTGTTCAGCTGGAAGTAGAATTTGCTCCTATACAGACTTGATTTCGGGCTTCGGGTTTGCTTACTCTGAGCTCTCTATATATCGATTTCAAGAAACTTTTGCATGCTAAGTAGTGTCTGAAAGTTCTGTCTGTGTGTTTGCTGTCTGTGCGTGCTGCTGCGTCATGCTGCACGAGGGAACCTGCAGCGATCTACCCTCATTTGAAGGAGCGGCGGATGGATTATTTTGCTCATGACTTGCCAGCATGCACACTTACGCCGAATATCGCATGCTGTAGATCGAGTCACCCATGTCGATGTGCTGTTGACGAGCCCTTGTCCACTTCAGGTTTCGAACCACTGATTGCAGCACTTCCCTTTGCAACCCTTCTCCACTTCAGCTTTCGAAGCCGTCATTTGACCACAAGATGCCACCGCCAGGATCTGGACTTCGGCAGTATGTATATAGTTATATGTGTCTTTCTATTTAGAATGCTGTTCCGAAACAAAAAGAGTTTCATCCTTGCAGCCAAGATTTGTCTTTCTTCGTTGATGCAAAAAGATGCTTGCCGCTTTGCTGAAAACGGCACGTCCGCATGACGTCCCGGCACTTCGACTGTTAGCATGCTTCCAAATTATAGTCTTTCGCCATTATGTCACGACTGTATTGCACGCTGCATTCTTGGGCTTCAACTTTCTGCGCCGATAGAGTCAAGCACCGAAACTTTCAACCCTCTGCCTTTAAAGCGGAGTCATTGCATAACTGGAAAGCCTATATCAACTCTTTGAAAGATGTCTCCGGAGCTTTGCGGCCCGTGCAAGATTTACGTCGCATTGTCTGGATGTGCTTGCAGTCTGAACGTGTCATGCTCTTCCAAGCTTGTGGGTTTGGAGCCCTTGGGATGCAATCCGAAGCGGAATTTGGCACAAAATGCCGGTACGTGAATTTCAAAAACTGATTCCAATCATCACCCAACTTGCATTTTGCCGTATATCGCCAGTGTAAATTATACACAGCACGTTCCAATAAAACGACACTTGCTTGTGGTTTATAAGTGGTTATGTAAACCCGATTATAACCACTTGTAGGCCTTATAAGGTTTATGCTTAACCATTTATATAGCCCATCATAACCTCTTCTATAAACTCCGTAGCAATTATATTTTTTATGTAATTCCACATAACTTCAATAACCTTTTATCATACTTCTAACAGCTTACTACTGGGTTATTACTCGGTTGTTACTAGATTACTACCAACTTGCCATCCTCCATAATCCTTCTAAGTCATTAACTAAAAACCAGTCCATTACAGCAATGCCGCCGGCAGGAATGCCCGGGTATGGCAGGATGGCGACCTCATCAACCCCATCAAGCTGATCCAGGTCGTCGCTCAAGAGACCCAGCTCCATGAGCCTCTCTTGCTTCCATTTCCTGTAGAAAGTCATCTGGGCCCATTTCCAGACTTTCTTATCCTCGCCCTCATGCAGCCGCTCAACATGAGCTTTCTGGACCCATGCTTTGCCCGTCTTGGGGTTTGCATGGTCCTTGTCCAAAAGCATGTGCACTCTCTCATCGCCGGAGTTCATGATCGTTCCTTGCCACCCATACAAGCTCACACCGGCTGCCTGAGTACAAATTCAATTAGTATGGTGATGATGGTGATGGTGGTGAGGATGATGGTGATGACGATGGCGATGGCTGATGGTCATGCATCATGCAGGCAGCATCCGAAACGAGGCACAGCCAGTACTGAACTTGTACTACAATAAGCACCATCCAGCCAGCATCCGAAACCAGG